TGTCACTATAGTCCGATACAAACCCTTGGTTTGTCAGCAATAGGACTATAACCCGATACAAACCCTTGTTTTGTCAGAAATAGGACCTTAGTCCGATACAAACCCCTGTTGCGTCAGCAATAGGACTATAGTCGAATACAAACCCTGTTACGTCAGCACTAGGACCATAGTCGGATACCAACCCCTGTTATGTCAGCAATAGCATTTTAGTCGGATACAAACTCCTGCTAGGGCAGCAATAGGACTATAGTCTGATACAAACCCTGTTACGTCAGCAATACGACCATAGTCCGATATAAATCCATGTTATGTCAGCAATAGGAACATAGTCGGATACAAACCCCTTTTTTGTCAGCAATAGGACCATTGTCCGATATAAACCCCTGTTACGTCAGCAATAGGAACATAGTCGGATACAAACCCCCGTTTTGTCAGCAATAGGACCATTGTCCGATATAAACCCCTGTTACGTCAGCAAGAGGACTATAGTCCGATACAAACTCATGTTATGTTAGCAATAGGACTATAGTCGGATACAAGCTCCTGCTAGGTCAGCAATAGGACTATAGCCCGATACAAACCCTTGTTTTGTCAGAAATAGGACTTTAGTCCGATACAAACCCCTGTTTGGTCAGAAATAGGACTATAGTCGGATACATACTCCTGTTATGTCAGCAATAGGACCAAAGTCCCATACAAACTCCTGTTATGTTAGCAATAGGACTATAGTCCTATACAAACCCTGTTACGTCAGCAATACGACCATAGTCCGATATAAACTCTGTTACGTCAGCAATAGGAACATAGTCGGATACAAACCCCCGTTTTGTCAGCAATAGGACTAGAGTCCGATACAAACCCTGTTATGTCAGCAATAGGACTATAGTCGGATACAAACTCCTGCTAGGTCAGCAATAGGACTATAGTCCGATACAAACTCCTGTTATGTTAGCAATAGGACTATAGTCCGATACAAACCCTTGTTATGTCAGCAATAGGACCAAAGTCCCATACAAACTCCTGTTATATCAGAAATAGGACTATAGTCGGATACAAACTCCTGTTATGTCAGCAATAGGACCATAGTCCGATACAAACCCTTGTTTTGTCAGCAATAGGACTATAGTCCGATACAAACCCTTGTTTTGTCAGCAATAGGACTATAGTCCGATATAAACCCGTTATGTCAGCAATAGGACCATAGTCCCATACAAACCCCTGTTATGTCAGCAATAGGACCATAGTCCGATACAAACCCCTGTTTTGTCAGCAGCAGGGACCAAAATTCGATACTATTTCTTGGCTGTTTAATTACAGGATATGTTGCTGATCTGAAATTTAAATCCAGTCAAGTCACACCAATAATTAAATATTACAGTATTATTTAACATAAAATTAATTATATGTTATATAATAGATAGTATTACACCAACGTTCTGTACCATACTAGGGGAGGTAACCCAACCATATCTCTCAAAATTTTCCTAACGAGGACATTTACCGCACGGTGTTTTTAAACTTTCTTCTGGAATGTAAACACAACTTCACCTGTTTTTTTCGTAAAGTAGTTCTAGTACATTCGCGTAATACATAGTAAAGAATTTAAAGCATACATATCTAGGTCCTCCTGATATATATATATCCGAGTGCAGGGGCGGATACAGGATTTTTTGAACGGGGTGGGGGGGGGTGGCGCGCTCCCGGTAAATGTGTTTGCTGAGCGCAGCGAGGTGCACCGCCGCAGGCGGTGCGGGCGGCCGCTTTAACGAGGGCCGTAAAGGCCGGAGCCGGTGGGAGAGCACGAGAGGGGGGCATGGATGCCCCCCTCTCGTAAGGGGGGTACGGGGGGTCTCCCCCTGATTTTTTTGAATATGTAGATGGCCGGAGGTTGCATTTCAGCACTTTTCCATCATAAAATCAACAAATTATCTGACCTCAGATTGGTGTATATTACCCTGTAAAGTCTCCTTTTTTTTAGTTTTGATGTAATTCCTTTGTATGTAATGGCTGAATGCACTTCTAATCTACTTTAATTTACCTCTATAAAAAAAATGGATTAATTTTCGTTATTGAAAATCGCTATATCTATGGGTTATTACAAAAAACTGTTAGTTGAACAGTTTTCGTTTTTGAAAGCATTTCACGACTTTGGAGCCGTTGAAAAACGAGACATCAAAAGAAACTCGATTTCGTGTTTTTTTTTAATCCTTACCGGACCGGACCTAGATCCGCCCTTGTAAATTGCAACTAAGACTAGTAGTCCAAAAATATTGGTGTACATGGACAGAGAACACCAGGTATGTACTCTGTGTTTGGTGATATTTTGACCATAGCTAGTATAGAAAACATCATTTGTTCGATTCCCTTAGCGGCGTCGTAATAAAGCTCTACAAAGCGTATGTTTGTCGTTGACAATGTACACGACGTTAGTATGCATGACTGTCTAGATCTGCTGTCGCTTTTTTTTTTTTATCGGAGTTGAATGTCTTCACAGCAGTATTCCGAGGGAGGCACCACCGAAAGGAGATAGTAGGAAATAGAGAAAATGAAAGGAACGACGTTCCAAGTGTTGTAATTTGGACTACAGACCAATTCCAGTCCTTAGTAGGAGGCACCGTAGAAAGCTTCGATTTATTGATTTATTAATTTATTTATCGATCGGAGAAGCGGGGAAGAACGGGGTAGGAGGGGGCGGGGGCAACGAAACGCATCTTGATTCTTCAATTTCCCCTTTAAGCCGAAGTCACAGAAGATACCACGATATATATAGGGGCATTAGTCGCCTCTTACGACCATGCAGTGCAATATAGCAGGTATGTTCTTCACCCGAGCCTGCACAGACTGACTGGTGACGTCATGATACTATCTCGTCTCGTATGTTACATAACACCTTCAGGGACATTTTGATTATATCTAATGAAATATGTAATATAATATACACAATAATATACAACATTTGATATAGCGCCCTATTTAGCTAGAATAAGCCACTCTAAAGCGCTTGACAATTACGAGGAATTCGCAGGAGCTGCCTTATCAGGCGCTATATAACTACGTAGTCCTATGCCACCTGGCTAATATCTCCCTATGTGCGTATATCCTTTCGGTGTTGTTTTCCTAGACACCCGTCTTCACGTGACCTTAGATGTTCCAAGACGTTAAAGCCGAAACATAAACACAAGCAAACTCAATGATATTTTTATCACATCTTGTTACATCTATGTACGAAGCATGAATTAATGATATTTTGGTATTAAACACGAATTACTTGTATATGTACCGGTATTGTTAGGAACAACTTACGTGTATCTATCTGATAAGTGAATGTATGTGTGAGCCTGTGATTTATATCGCTTCCCTGTATCGTGTCACTTTAATTATAGAATATTCTCGACTGGACAGTGGGCGGGACATAAAACTCGGCCCATCATTAATTACAATCGTTAGTGCAACAGGTCCCTGACCGCTGTGTACTGTGGTAAATAATCCGAAATTCAGGAGGGTTTTTGTAATGTTGTGGCTTCTTTGATATTTGGTCACTGAATTCCCTGTCTGTCATTTTATTTAAAGAAAGAACCCCCTCCCCCTTCCCAGTAATAAATGTCCATTTCCAAATTGAGGAACATTACTTTTTTGTCAGTAAATAGAGGTATTTAATAGTCATTCATTCTAAACACCATTAAAACAGGACCTTTATTATTGGTTTACACAGAATCTATGCTTGAGCATAAGAACGGTTTCATGAATACGGGCCCTGGTAGCCATGCGAGCCTATGTTGTTCCTTGCTCACCAAAGTTAAAGGCTGGGGATCTCGACCGTTTCATTGTGACGATTCCCAGAGAAATAATCACCAGGTTTTTAATAGATTATGGTACAATCCATGCTGCCCTTTAGGAGTAAAATTTGTAAGCCAGAAATACCGTTATATCTGTTTTGGGTCGCACCCTCTGGCTGTAACTACTTCCTTTATACAAAATATGATCTTCTTACCCCAGTAATGCTTCATACTGTATCAAATATGGTGTCCAATCGTGCATTCCTTCAGACGTAGAGTGATGAAGATTCGCCCCGCCGTTCCTTGCCTCAAAGCGGCTACATGCTCCATTGATCTGACATTTGATTACATGGTTCTTTTAACTATGCTAAATTTGGTTAAAGCCTATCAAGCCTTTCTAAAGAAGTAGTCTTTTAAAGGCTGGATTCCACCAGTTTCCCCCTCTTGGCCCAAGCACCGGGGGACCACTCCCTTTTTTTACACACCATATGATCCCATGGACGCATAATATAAATGAAGGTGTAAACTTTTAAATGGAAAAAGTTGCAGATAACGGCCATCCTACCATGGCAAGATCTTGATCACCGATCCCTCCTTCGGTAAACGTAGGCCTTCAAGCGCCTCAACTTTCATAATACATGTATTAGGTCCTTAGATCACTTTTATTCTGTGTGGTTTAGATTTTGTGGATTTTCCAAACCTCCAACAAAATTATCTGCATTTTCAGTTGTCTGACCTGTTCTCCATGCCTTTTTAGCTAGTCAGCTGACTCCAAACTACCTTATGTGATATTTGGTTGTCCAGCTTTGGAGACACTTCACACCTATTTTCAGATTTGATACCTATATATTTTACATACATAGATATACTTATATACATGCATGTATATGTTTATGCTGTATACAGGAATTATTTTGCTGCAGTTGAAATGTCACCTTTTTTGCCCTCTGTAACCAGAGCAAATTGATCAGGACATCCAATATGAAAACACACCATACTATACATGTTAATATAGTGGCTAATATGGATTTAACCCGAGAAACAGAACATTTTACTGGGTGAAACTCTCCCGGTTACATATACCGACCACTATACAAAGGGAGGTAATTACACACATAATACAAACCGATCACTATACAAAGGGAGGTAATTACACACATAATACAAACCGACCATTATACAAAGGGAGGTAATTACACATATAATACAAAAATACCACCGACATTTGTTCTAACATTTTTTATTTACTTTTTTTCACCAAGAGCCACTCACAGGGTACAACTATTATATATGACATTTAACTTAAACACAATATCAAGGAATTTCTGTGAATAATTCTTTCAATACAGACATGCACCAGTTAACAAAACGTCACATACATCTATAACAAGTGTTCACAGTTCAAAGTAAAACCTATGAAGTAAAATTGATAAAATCTGTAAGAACTGTAACTAAACTTAAATTCATTTGCTCAAATCTGCTAACAGCACAAAGTAGTAGAACTGTAAGCCAGTGGCTAGTTTAATTGCATACATGTGGGTGTACCCTCCCTATTTTCAAACAAAACTTCAATGGCTAACTAAATACTGTATACAAGAAATTTTTACCAATGTGTAATTTTCGCCTTTTATTTGTGGGAGGCCACAATGAGGGTGAATTTATCATGACATCGAATATTAGTACACAACATACAATATATAGTAGTTACATGTGAAGAGCGAAATTAACACTAGGCGAACATGGATTTTATGGGCAGAGAATATTTGACTGGGCTTAAGTTTCCCAGTATACAGTAACCCCACTTATCTATATGTAAGTGTGCCCTCCCCACTTATCTGTATGTAAGTGTGCCATCCCCACTTATCTGTATGTAAGTGTGCCATCCCCACTTATCTATATGTAAGTGTGCCCTCCCCACTTATCTGTATGTAAGTGTGTCCTCACCACTTATCTGTATGTAAGTGTGCCCTCACCACTTATCTGTATGTAAGTGTGTCCTCACCACTTATCTGTATGTAAGTGTGCCCTCCCCACCTATCTGTATGTAAGTGTGCCCTCCCCACTTATCTATATGGAAGTGTGCCCTCCCCACTTATCTATATGTAAGTGTGCCCTCCCTACTTATCTGTATGTAAGTGTGCCCTCCCCACTTATCTATATGTAAGTGTGCCCTCCCTACTTATCTGTATGTAAGTGTGCCCTCCCCACTTATCTGTATGTAAGTGTGCCCTCACCACTTATCTGTATGTAAGTGTGTCCTCACCACTTATCTGTATGTAAGTGTGCCCTCCCCACCTATCTGTATGTAAGTGTGCCCTCCCAACTTATCGGAATTAAAGTGTGTCCTCCCCACTTATCTGTATGTAAGTGTCCCCTCCGCATTATCTGTGTGTAAGTGTGCCCTCCCCACTTATCTGTATGCAAGTGTGCCCTCCCCACTTATCTGTATTTAAGTGTGCCCTCCCCACTTATCTGTATTTAAGTGTGCCCTCCCCACTTATCTGTATGCAAGTGTGCCCTCCCCACTTATCTGTATGCAAGTGTGCCCTCCCCACTTATCTGTATGTAAGTGTGCCCTCCCCACTTATCTGTATGTAAGTGTGCCCTCCCAATTATCTGTATGTAAGTGTGCCCTCTCCACTTATCTGTATGTAAGTGTGCCCTCCGCATTATCTGTATGTAAGTGTGCCCTCCCCACTTATCTGTATGTAAGTGTTTTGTTTCAAAATTAAGTACAAAAAAAGTATAAACTAGGACAGGCTGTATGGAAATATTCTTTATGACATTGGGTATAACTATAAAGAGACGCGTCAGAATAATAAGTATATATCACAGATAGGAGCTTCCTCCCATACCAAGTACAGTACATAGGATTACTGATATCTATACAGCACTTTACAAAAAGTACTCTGGACAAACAGCTTAGTGAAATGGTTCATTCACTGTACACAACATAACCCCAATAACATTTGTTTCACCGAACATCAGAAATCAACAATTAATTAATATATTTACTGGCAAGATTTCCAAATCGTTTAGTCATAACATAGGATCTGGTGGAGTAATTAATCGTGAGACCATTTCTATTGTTGAAAACAAATATTCCAATAACATTTACAAAAACAATCTAAGGTGTACATGTTCTAAGATTATATGTAAAATATAATATAACTTCAATTACAACAATGTTATCCAAATTCTTACCTTGTCTATAAGTATTAAGTACAAAAGAAAAAAGATATTGACTGTGAAAATCTATAAATATGCAAGTCCAAGGTCCATTTACATAAGTGTGGCTGGAATGGGTCAACTACCATTTAAGGATCCCTGTCCCACTGCTTCAAAACACTAGAGAAGTAAATTGTACATTTTCATACATACAGCCGCTGATACCTCTTTTTTTTTTTGTATATATAATTTTTTAATAGTCCTGCTGGGTCTGATTTTATTTTCAGAGGTTTATCAAACTGTAATCATACAAAAAGAAAGTCCCTGACAAATAGTCACCATTTTTGACAGTGGTACGGGGATCCTTAACGCAGACATTTTTATTTATCGTGTGGGACTTGTTGTCGACCATTTGGCTTCTTTTTAAAACAGGACTACCTGTAGCCTGGTATCTCTAAAATTGCCATGTAAAAGTATTGATTGTAGAAAGGTGAATGTTCAAAGTTTGTATGCATCTTGTCACCTTCATTACACAATGGATCTGTCTGCTTGATTGATAGATAGGTTTCACGTCCGCTTCGCTACCGAGTGATGACATTGACAGATTACTGCTGTATTAGTCATTGAAATGTCACACATTAACACTCCACTGGTTGTGCTACAGGAACCTTTCTCCAATCGTTTACAGGCCCAGGTTAATATCACACACATGTTCATTCTCATTTCTGGATCAAACAACTATGGGAGAGCTGTTCCAATCACCTAAATGTAACGGCCTCAGGTCTGATACTTTAATGCTGTAGTGTCATTGTTACCACAATAGAGACAATTTATATTAGTCACTCTGTCCTACGTAGTATTACAGATATTTGGTATACATAAAAATAGTCCCTGTGGTAATGCAGATATTTGGTATAATGCATTGGAACAAAAATACACACACACAAATACAGTTGGGTAGGTTATAAATAAGGAATTGTACAATACAGATAAAATGCAAAAATATAAACATGTTAACTTATATCAGTCAAGTCAGTCTGGTAATAACACAGTGAAACTATGCTTAAATCCTGCTCAATACTGTACTTATCCATTCTATCTTCCCTTAATTCAAGTTAAGTTTGAGGGTTATTCCAGGAACAGTCAGCATTTTGACTCGAAAAAAATGTTAATTAGATAAAAAATAAATAAAAAAAATGTCATGTTTTTAAACATTTAAGGGTTAGTTAGTAATTGTTTCTTAACAGGCCATCAACACAAAAGAGGTCATCAGGGCCAGTAAACACTCAGAGATAACAGCACTCACTGATCATGTGATATCTTACTGATGAGGACAATGTTTATATTTAAGCAGGAATCAGCATCATTCTAGGGTTGGAATGTAGAGATAAAACATTCCCATTAGTGAACAACTGTTAATGATCAAAACAGGAAGTGGTTAAATCATTCTAATATGACTCATGCAGGGTCATGTCTACAAAACCAAAATATATATACCTCAGAATTAGTATAGAATCACCTGTTGTAATAGTTTACAGAAACCACGTACAGGTGTTTGTTAGAACAGCTTAAGCTAACAATAGGCCTTAATTTTCTCCTCAAGAAACCCATTTGTATGTTAAAACTTAACATTTCTACCAATGATTTCTAAAATCAGACTTGCTTGTTTATTGTTATGAGTGTGTCTATGTAAGTGAGATTTCATTAAATCTTAATTTCGGTCATTTGTAGTACATATTAGTATTAAAAAAAATAATGCAGATTTCCACTGTATCAATTAGAGCCAAAATGTAACTACCTGACATATACCCCTACCCATTTAAACAACTAGGTATATTAAAACAACTTGATAAAATGTAAATGGCTCACAACAGGATATCAGAACAAGTGGAAGAGACTTATGTGTGTCAACCACAAACGGTCAGAACACAAAATGCTAAAGATCCGATACATTTGAATGTCACTTTGCCAGATTTCAAATTCAGAGTGTCAGTGTTTTGATTTGTAAATGTGGAATGATGTACGATTTTGAGAAAAAAGTTAAACAAGAAAATTAAATATTACTAACATCTAAGTCTCCAAATTTAACAAAACAGTAGAGTACATGGATGCAAACGTAATTCATCACAACACTGGCACAACACAGAAGCAAAGCATGATGATGACAACTAAAACTTAAACAGCAAGTTTAAAAACTTAAAGCACCATTTCAGAAAGACCAAAAAATATCAACAACACATTTTCTGGGGGGAAATGCCTTCAACAATAGGATTTCCCCCAAAAAATGAGTCTAAATGGGGAAATGTATTCTACTTGATCAACTTTATAGAGAGACCGTTATACTCACTGGGTATTTAATAATGCAGCATCGCCAAATTGTCTCTATTATTGTATCATAATGAAAGTCACAATACTTTCAAGTCGTGGACTATCACAATAGCAAAAAGGAAATTTTAGACGAGAATTATGCCAAAAAACCCAGTATTACATGTTTAAAGACAATAAAATAACATTAACCGAGGACAGATTAATTCAAAGCTAATAATAATATTATGTAGTCTTGAGAAATGACAATAAAATGTATAAATACCAGTAATACATACAATAATGTACACTATCAGTGTCACCGTGTCATCAGAAATTATAAATATCAGCAAAGTTTCTAAAGATCAAATATTTAGTAATTGTAACATATCTTAAAATACCTGTTTCATCATTTAATAAAACATCTGACAACACTATAATACTGAAAATACATTTGATTTCAGGGATTTCAATTCTTGTCCTCAATCGTAATATATTACAACAGTGTTGGCTACATTATGCAGAAATTGTATTGCTATTTCTAGACCCTGTGAAACAAACATATCGTATAATAACAGAGAAAAGCTCACCACTTATACTACTACATCTGTACGTCAATATTCAGGTACATTATACACTGGATCAGGCTAGACCGGGTATAAGGACACCTGTACATGTGCAGGGTTCGTTGGGGTGAGGAAGTAGGGATACACTTATCTGATGATCTCTGTTCCCTTACAATATTTTTCCTGGGCCTAATATATAATATTTCTTATCAGGATATGCTATTTTGTTGACAATTTTCTTTCTGTTTTGACATTTACGCTATTATCATTTCTGTTAAGTACATTCATTCTGTTTGTACTATAAATAGTTTGTATTCCATAGAGTTGTTAATCTTGTTATATTAGGAGCCTAAAAAATATGCGAAATAAAACCCTGTGAATTACTTGTTCTTGTTATAAAGGGTTTCACCCAAAAATTATGTCCATCAAATTTGTTCCAGGATCAATACTAAAAATTTGACCGCAATTTATCTTTCTGTGAACATTACGTTATACAAATTGTATTATAATATAATGTTACACAGAACCTGTTGTATTCTTTATCACAGTCTCTAGGTGCTGTAAGATTGCACCGACATACATGTCCAATATCACATAATACCCTGTTTCTCTCATCACCTACTCTATAAAATCATTTATAAAACCGTGAATTCACGACCCATAGAAATTCTATATCGCAAAACTGAATAAAACACTGTGTTAAAAGGTGGGTATTTTTACTTCTATTGATATTTCTTTTCAACATTTGAAAATGGACTTGTCAAAAAATAGGTTACGAACCAAAAGCACTGATCTATGTATACAAATTTTAATCTATTTATATTCACACGTGACATATCAGTAAACAGGAGCGATGCGAAGATATAATTTTAATTAGATTGACATATTTTGACAGCATTCCCGCCCTTTATGCATCTATGTGAGAAATATTCATATGTACTAATAAATTTCATTCCTAAACAGAACATAGTGAGAAAATCAACATAATCATGAAAATTTGATTAAAATTATGCAGTAGTATTTTTTTTTAATCGAGAGATTTTTGTCTTTTCTTCTTTTTTGCGCACTTAAGCTTGAAAAGCAGCAAATCAGATCATTGGTTACGCACTACAAGTCACAAGCCATGCAAGTCTGTGTCTGAGGATTGGGTGTTGTCCTCATCTTCTATTTCTCGGGCAACACTCACATTAAAGTGTAAATTTTAAATATTTCCAGATGTTTTCCAGGATCCTTAGTTCAATCAAAACAACATGGAACTATTGATATTAATAGTTTCCCCTTCCACATTTTCCGATGTTTTCCCAAATCTTCTAAACGAGTCACCAACACGTGTATATTTTGTGTGGGGATTATGCATTGTCCTCGTCTTCCACCTCGTCCACGCCGCACGCCACGCCCTCCGGTACGTAGGCCGTCTCACGATGTTTGGCAAGAATCCTAAGCAATGGTCTCAGTTTTAGCCACCATTGGTTCTTTGGGAGCCTTTGTCTAAAAATAGAAACAGAAAACTGATTTTAAAAGAAAGGTAAGACTTTTTCCTTTGTTCTTTATAGTTAAAAATCTGTTGTTTGAATATATTATGTACATGTATGTACATAAAATTTATTTAAGCAATGACTGTTCTAGCAAATGTTGTTATGGTCCTATAACACACATTGCTATTAATGACACACTTAATAAAGCTCGGCATGGCTTTATGCAAGTTATAGGACCATAACAATATTTGCTAAAATATTCATTGTTTACATTTTGATAGAGTAATAATAATAATAATATTTATTCGGTAAAAGCAAGATACAGGTACAAATATCACATATGATCACAGATTTCAATTGCATAATAATCACAGATTTATCACAGTATTTAGCTTATCACATCAAAGTTAATATCACAAATTTTGGAGCACTATAATTACAATGTATCTGTTTGACTAAGCTTTAACCTAGGATATCCCATGAAAGCTGGGTGGCAGCTTATTTCCAATGGGGTCCTCTGTAGTTACGCTTTGAACAGCAAACTAAGTGTTGACAACAATAAAATTGGTGACGTTACAATAGCAAATGTAGCTTTAGTCTCCTAACAACATTTGCCTTCTCAATGCATTGCAATGGAAGGACACAGAGCAAATGAAAATATACATGAATGTTATTTATATTGATCTTATTTATATCTAGATGACAGTAACAGCAATATATAAATATACATGAATGTTATTTATATCTGATCCTATTTATATCTATATGACAGTAACAGCAATATATAAATATACATGAATGTTATTTATATCTGATCTTATTTATATAAATATACATGAATGTTATTTATATCTGATCTTATTTATATAAATATACATGCATACTGCATGCATAAACAGTCAAATAAACAGATAAAATCACCAAACAGTCTGTAGACATACACTAGGTATTATTGCTGTGTGATGACAGATATATCTCTTGATACCAATATTGTTTATAAATTATTTATACCAAAATAGAAAGTAACTTTGTCAAGGTTTGTCATTACAAATATGAATATTTTCAGTACTATCAAATAAAAGTGGATTTTGGGTCCTATAAAATCAAACATAAACTTTATTTACTTTATGAACAGTAATGTAACCAGCTTTTCCAAATTCAATTAAACACTATTGATGAAAGCACACAGAGATACTGGTAATGTGTGAGGTATTGGGACTAAGTAATGTACCTCCAGAAAACCCATGTGGTTTCTGGAACTCTAATAAAAATCTTTTGAGTACTGTAATTTAACCAGGGAATAACATTAATTTATAGCTAGGACTTGAAATTACAAGTTACACTACATATTTCACTCACTCAAAGTTAGTTTCTGCCCGCAGCTCCTGAACAGGTGTGAATGAGAGATGTCGCTTGGTCATTCCCAGTAACACTGCTGAATCGGGACTGTTACTGTACACTGTACCTGTAACACATAAAACGACGCTTAGAATCAGCTCTCTTTAAACATATATATAAACTTTATTTATTATACAACAATTATGAAATAAGTTATTTCAATTTCTATTAATCACTCTTGTTGGCTCGGATATTACTGCACGGGGGGTCTTGATGTAGGAGGAAACCAGAGTACACGGAGAAAACCCACATAGTCTGGCAGGTGACCCCATACCTTTTCACACCCGATCAGGGAATTTAACCCCGGTCGCTTTGGTGAAAGAAAAGTGCGCTCTCCACTGCGACAACTACCACCCTTTAATTAGACATCTGCTTTGTCATTTAAATGCCAGCTAGGTCAGGAACAGTGACAGGTCAGCTAAAGAAAATAGTAAATTTTTCTCTGACCTTTATGATGTTTTCAAAAATGATATTTTGAAGTACTTTTGTCCAATTTGCTATACCACACTGGACAAATTATTATTTACTACAGAAAATATTTAAATCAAGAAAAATCATATACCATCTTCTTTAGTATTTTCCTCAATTTTTCCAATGATGTAGTCGACAGCTTTGCTGGCCATTTTTGTTCCGTAATTCCTGTCAAATGGAGAGGGCACTCCCCCCTGCTGCATGTGTCCTAACACGTTCTTACGGCAGGTGAATGTGCCTTTCCCTTCCTCAGAGAAAAGATTAAACACAAAGTCTGTCGAGTAGTTGGCATTAGCATTTTCATTCCTAAAAAAAATTATGAAAATGTCAGGGTCACAATTTTGCTGTGGAATTTTAGGTAGTACGATAATGCTCTTTTGCTATCTAAACCTGGAAGGAATTGGGAACAAGGCAGCAGTGGAGGTACATGAGAATCTATTCGGTCCTATATGATGTGGACAGAAATCTCACCTCAAAGGTAACATTTTAAAGTTTAACAGCAGGCTTTGTATCAAATTAAAAGGGACCAAATCTAGATTGTGATAGTGACTAATTCTGGGCAGTGCATTATGTGTTTACTGCCAATTTGGAACAGATCATTTTTTTTTACTTGAAAATATCATATACTTTTGCAAGTTACCTCAGAATGAGACCTCGTTGAACACCAGCAGTGATTATTTTATCCTTCAAATGGTTAACATCATTCTGCAATAAAAATAAAATTAAGATTAATAGTTTTATCATTTTCTTTTCATTATAAGGACCTAAGAGGTTTGCAACAAAATTGAGACTCAAAATATATACACTATACATTCACCTAATGTGAAGTTTTATTTATCCCAACTAAACTAACAACATATATATCTGTTATAATGGAGCCCCTCTAGACTTACCCTCAGATATCTGTTATAATAGTGCCCTTCTAGACTTACCCTCAGATATCTGTTATAATGGAGCCCCTCTAGACTTACCCTCAGATATCTGTTTTAATGGAGCCCCTTAAGAGTTACCCTCAGATATCTGTTATAATGGAGCCCCTCTAAACTAGCCCTCAGATATCTGTTATAATGGAGCCCCTCTAGACTTACCCTCAGATATCTGTTTTAATGGAGCCCCTCTAGACTTACCCTAAGCTATCTGTTATAATGGAGCCCCTCTAGACTTACCCTCAGATATCTGTTATAATGGAGCCCTTCTAGACTTACCCTCAGATATCTGTTTTAATGGAGCCCCTCTAGACTTACCCTCAGATGTCTGTTATAATTGAGCCCCTCTTGACTTACCATCAGATATCTGTTATAATTGAGCCCCTCTTAACTTACCATCAGATATCTGTTTTAAGGGAGCCTCTAGACTTACCCTCAGATATCTGTTATAATGGAGCCCTTCTAGACTTACCCTCAGATATCTGTTTTAATGGAGCCCCTCTAGATTTACCCTCAGATATCTGTTATAATTGAGCCTCTCTTGACTTACCATCAGATATCTGTTTTAATGAACCCCTCTAGACTTACTCTCAGATATCTGTTATAATGAAACCCCTCTAGACTTACCGTCAGATATCTTTTATAATGAACCCCTCTAGACTTACCCTCAGATCTGTGATATTAAATTTTTCCTCATAGATGTAAGCAGCATCTGCACCTCCAGCCAGACCACTCATGGTTGCCAGGTAACCACAATAGCCACCCATGGTTTCAACAATAAACAGACGCCTTTTTGTTCCTGTGGCTGATTGTTTGATTCTATCACAGATCTGAAAAAGCAGTTACAAAATAAAATAAAAGACTCACTTCACCAATTAATAGCAGAAGGTGCAGTTTCATATACCATATTTTACCATATTTAATTAAGAGATGTTTCTTCACAAATTAAATCTGATATTTCCCTGAGACACATCTCTTAACACCTTTAATCTAACAATATTTCTTTAAGAGAATTTTCTTCACAGATCTGATATTTCCTAGAGACATTTCTTCACAATTTAGATCTGATGTTAATTATTTAAGAAACATTTCTTCACAACTTTAATAGGATATTTAATTAAAAGATGTTTCTTCACAAATCTGATATTTAATTGAAAAACATTTCTTCACACCTTAAATATGATAGTTAATTGAGAGATTTTTCTTCACAACTTACATCTGCTATTTCATTGAGAGCAGTGTCAGCACCGAGACTGAAGTCGGTGCCGGGGACGTTATTACTAATGGTACAAGGGATCACAACGATGGGAATGCAGTAGGCGTCAAACTGTTCTCGAGCCTCTGCCATTTGTAGAGCGCTGTGGTAGGCCTGCAAATAGGGAAGAAATGATGGTTAAACAGGCAAAGTAGGACAGGAAACCTGGGATCATTCAACTGAAAACAGGGATTTATATTTAGTGGTTATCATAATTTGCACTTTCTAGTAGTGTAAAAATTGCTAAAATAATGTCCCTAAAAACAACATTATATATGTGTAGTAAAGAATTGTATTTGTAAAATAATTCAATTTGAAAAGGTTTTGTTCAACTAAAAGTACCTACTTTTAATTTGTACCCTGTATGTAGACATACATAGAGGATCTGTCATAAGCTTCCCTTCATATTAGATTTATGATACAAGTTTTGGATTTGTAATGTTTGCGAGCCTCTGGCGAGCAAATATGAAAAATCCAAAACGAGTATCATAAATCTTATATGAAGGGAAACGAATGTGACGTCACATTGATTGTTCCTATTGGATTGTGACATCATTTCCGGAGTGATATTACACATGTTACATAAACATAGTTTATGTGATGGCTTTATGACACTGCATAACATAGTATTCATATGAGAAATGCATAAATGTTATTTTATTTGAGGACTTCCAATTCTATAGCAGATCTACATAGTCTACTCCCCCCCCCCNCCCCTGTGAGATTGATTTATTTACCTCGAATCCTCCCACAATCAATAGTCCACTGATGTCATACTCCTTCAGTTTGGCCGCGATCTTGTCCATCCCGTACTTACTAGCTACAATCCTGTAGGGGGCAAAAACAATAAAATATGGCAATGCTTGCTGCAACTAAACTTAACAGAATGGGAAAAATGCCCACACACACAGGCACTCCTACATACTACATATTATATAAAGACGATTATACACAAGTAATTACTGAAGTGTTAAGACCAGTTTTAGCATATATCCATTACCTGTGACAAACCATTTACAGCGAGACTTTTCATGATTGTCCAAGTGTTGACCTCTAAAAAACTGCAATAATATACAACTGACCTGAAATCCACTGCCCTGTGAAATCTTGTTTGAGAACGTCTAAGTCTCCACAGCTTTAGATAACTTGAAAGCTGTAGGATTACTACAAACCTTATCAGTGGACAACACGGATACCTTTTTGTAATTTTTTCAACATAGATTTATTTAGATCACATTTATTTTAATTTACAGCAACTGTAAAACAACTTTTCTTAAATAGAAACATGTTGGATCCAGAAGAAAACTTGATCAAGGGGCCGAATGAAGATGTGTTGTGTCCTGATGAAAACCTTGTTGGGGCTGGAAGAATACATGTTGGAGCTAGATAGTAATGTGTTTTGTCCTGATGAAAACCTGATGGGCGCTGGATGAAAACATGTTGCTCCTTGTGGCTCGAATGGAAGCATGGTGGGACCCGATAGAAGTGTGTTGGGTCTGGAGGTGCATGTTGGGCCTGAATGGAAGGGTGTTGGGCCCAGATGGATCTGTTTTGGTTCTTAATGGAAGGGTGTTGGGCCAAGATGGATGTGTTTTGGTTCTTAATGGAAGGGTGTTGGGCCCAGATGGATGTGTTTTGGTTCTTAACGGAAGGGTGTTGGGCCCAGATGGATGTGTTTTGGTTCTTAATGGAAGCGAGTTGGGCCCAGATGGATGTGTTTTGGTTCTTAATGGAAGGGTGTTGGGCCCAGATGGATGTGTTTTGGTTCTTAATGGAAGGGTGTTGGGCCCAGATGGATGTGTTTTGGTTCTTAATGGAAGGGTGTTGGGGCCGGATGGAAGCTTCATTAAATGATGCGATGAATTTTGGCTTAGCAGTCGGGGTGTTAATATGGACCCACAGATACCTCTTCTTGATGAAAGGCGATTGTGTTATCCAATGTGCCACCCACCATGTAATTTAAGTTGGTGTTACAGCCATATTTACCAGCTAATTAGATGCATGTCGTTGGAGTGATTTTAATTTCACTTTTTTTTCGGTTGGTTGTACAGTAGATTTCACTTAATATCACTTCTCATTTGTCTCAGAGGAAACATGATATTAACCGGAGCATGACATAAAGAGAAAACATGTTTTCTAACCATTTCAGATGTCAAAGCCTGGAAGTGACCATATCTAAATGCATTAGTAATTATAAGCATAGACAATCACTGTTATATACCAGTAAACTACCAGTATACTCACTTCTTGGTTCCCAGTAGAGATCCACCCCTGCCTGTCCAGCTCTGGACATCTGTCCAGGCCAAAGATTTCACCTGTAATAGGACAAGGTTGCACAAGGTCACTTGCATAATCAAAATGTTAATGACTTATTATTTCAGATTGCCTTTTGTAAATGATCTCAAATGTGTTACACAATTAAAAGTTAGTGGTTAACTGTCTTTTTGATAATAATAGTACTGGATATTAATTTTTTTAGATATCATTTTCCTTATTCTAACGAACAGTCATATATCAACGATTTTTTGCTGTACATTAATATTGTAAAGGCATTTTTTTTAAAACTCAAACAAGAAATCACAATCATAAGGAGTACTGATAATTACTATAATAATTATATAAGTTTACTGATTAATATTTCCCCACCTCTTAAGCGTTAGTAACTTATATTTAAACTGTTCCTTCACCATACATCTTTAAAGTCGTTTATAAAATAGAAATACTACATATGTCGCTAATGTACATACAAGCTAGTGTATATCCTACTTACATAGGCGGTATTATATGACTGTTTTGTTATTTAACTTAACTTTAAAACTTAGTCCTTAGTGCTTTTCCATCACTTTATTGTCACACAATATAATTCTGCGTAATTGATAACCTCTTATTCAATCTAAACTTGTGTTAATGTTTTATGGGGCAAGTCCAAAAAAATTAATTCAGTCTCATATTCCCTACAAGAAATAGTATTTTAAAGAACCGTTAATCTTAATGATGCACATTATATAATATTTAAACATATAAGCTAAATATAAGCTTTGGTAAACAAAGAAATTGTAGTTTTCTGAAACGCTTTTTAAATGATATTTAAGCAAAAACAATTTCCTATCATAGCATGATTAATACCCACATTTCCCCCAGTCTCCTTCCTAAATTGTCAAAAAGCAAATCTTGAGTCTGAAAACGGGTCTATTCTACAACATGAATCCGTTGGATCACTAAAATATTAAGATGTGTTATTTAAATGTCATTTGTTTTACTGTAATTTATTTTTCTGACTTTTTCAACTATCTTGATCACTAAATACAGTCTATTTATTACAATTTTTAGTGAAATACTCCTGTATTATTTTACAGATAGTTAGCCCATGGCCACAAGCACAAGCACTTTTAACCATTTTCCCTTTGCTTCATAAAACACATTGCATAGACAGTTGTTAAAATTATATTACTATGATGCATTGCACACATTTGAACCCACTGTCCTTAAACAGCCAGTTATGTATCATATCTGTAGCATTCTGCACCGATTATCTGTCATGGCTGAATGTATGTACTGTAAGCTTTTCTCCCTCCATCAACTGTCTACTTATATTCTTCCTATCTATATAGTCACGGTTGCTGATTTTTGCATGTGATTTAATTTCATTCAGAACCAAATAATTATACTGTTCAAGTACTATACACCACATGGTTTTTGCAATTTTTTGAAAAAGTCAAAACTTCACAAAATAGCATTTCCACAAAAAAAAGTCGCAATATTTATTTTTTTATTAATTAACACAGCATATGATATTTGAAATACACATATCAATTCTAATAAAATTCACCAATATAATTGTTTACTTGACTAATGATTTATGAAATTGATTACCCCACAAACACAACTTTCGGGTACAAATCTGCATAATTATCAACTTTAACTTGATTGGCAGTCAAAAATGGAAAATTCATCTTTCAAGCATAAGAACATTGGGGCAGTTCAACCTATAACTGGGTTAATCAAAAAAAATCATCAGTATAAGTATTTTCCAGGAAAGATTCCAGTTTTCATTACCTTCACACTGTTTATAATTAAAGAAAGAACATTCATATCTTAATAATTTCATAAACGAATCAATTGATGTTAATTTCCTCAGAAAACTATATATTTTTTAATGCCACACAGGGACGCCAAGAACATTTTTGACAAAAAAACAGGCATGCAGCGAGACCCAACGGAAAATGGTCATGTAACAGAGACAAGTTTGGGTGTCACGGGCTAAGAAAAGAAAACTGTGCATGCACCGTCATGGAGTTCCTAGTATACATCATGTTTTCAAATAAATTGTTTCAATGTTCATTACCGTTTAAAATCATTACATTCATAACAAATATTACATGGATCAATTTTATTATCATTTCCAATAAATTTGCACTTAATTTTTGTTAATAGCAAACTAAGTATGATTCCTTATACTTCATTCTTCACTTTTTTCTCTTATTTATTTTCTCTTATTTTTTCTCTCTAACCCATGTGTATCTGCCTTTATAATGATGGAATAGATTGCATTGATATCAATATTTGCAATAAATTTTGGATCAAAATGTCAACATTATCATTGATAAATTATTAATTAACATTTTTTACTTCTTTTAATTGAAAATAAAGCTGCTCCTTCATGCTTTAAAGGTGGAAAATTTACAATGGGAGATTTGGACAGTCTGGTTTGCAGGTTTTTCTTCTTCAAAACACCACGTTAACAAATGTTCTAACAGAACTGAAACAATTCACAAACGAGACAAACTTCTGAGGAGAGCACCAGAGTGTTTGGCCAGACCTTGTCAGTCATAGCTTACCCTTATCCTGTGGTCATCGTCCTTGTCAACAGAAGAAAAATCCCCCAAAACAATTAAATATTAACCCAGTAATAGAAAATTATCTTAAATGATTAATCTGTACCAGAAAACCAACATACCCCAAAACAGTTTTAACAATTTTCAACGGAATACTGAAGAGAAAATAGTATTATGTACCAGGATATCTGTAAACAGTAAATATTTTTTCACAAAAAGCAAACAAATGAAATGTCATATAAAATAAACAGTATATAATAAATCAATATTTATAAAATCAATGTGTTCTTTGCTGTGATAATTGAGGATAAGTTTGATAATTAGGATAGGGTTGATAATTGAGGATAGGATTTGGTAAAGCTCAATATTTATATATGAAATTCATTTGATTGAATTCCCATGTTATGATATTGTACAGAAAGGTACTGCAAAAGGAGTGGAGAAATATAAAGTGCCATAAATTGTCGCAGGGTTTGTTCAGTGTATAGTAAATGTCTGCACATTAAAATCACCTTTAAAGAGAGAACGATATGTACAGAATATATACAATAAGATTCATTTTTGCAGGAATTTCCACATAGGATTTTCAATCACAAAATAAAGCAGAGGTTAAAAAGAATTGATCAAGAAGATGAAGCACCCTTTATATATAGCTAGCAGATACTGTAGTACAATGTACTGACAGACAGGGTATCAGATACTGTAGTACTGACAGACGGGGGAGCAGATACTGTAGTACTGACAGACGGGGTATCGGATACTGTAGTACTGACAGACGGGGTATCAGATACTATAGTACTGACAGATGGGGTATCAGATACTGTAGTACTGACAGACGGGGCATCCAGACACTGTAGTACTGACCGATGGGGTATCAGATACTGTAGTACTGACAGACAGAGTATCAGATACTGTAGTACTGACAGACGGGGTAGCAGATACTGTAGAACTGACAGACGGGGTAGCAGATACTGTAGTACTGGCAGACGGGGTAGCAGATACTGTAGTACTAACCGACGGGGTTTAGTTCAGCTGGAGGCTGACTGACAGACAGAGTATCAGATACTGTAGTACTGACAGACGGGGTATCAGACACTGTAGTACTGCCAGACGGGGTATCAGACACTGTAGTACTGCCAGACGGGGTATCAGATACTGTAGTTCTGACAGACGGAGTATCAGATACTGTAGTACTGACAGACGGGGTATCCAGACACTGTAGTACTCACAGATGGGGTATCAGATACTGTAGTACTGACAGACAGAGTATCAGATACTGTAGTACTGACAGATGGGGTAGCAGATACTGTAGTGCTGACAGACGGGGCATCAGATACTGTAGTACTGACAGAAAGGTAATCAGATACTGTACATGTAGTACTGACAGACGAGGTAGCAGATACTGTAGTTCTGACAGACGGGGTAGCAGATACTGTAGTACTGGCAGACGGGGTAGCAGATACTGTAGTACTAACCGACGGGGTTTAGTTCAGCTGGAGGCTGACTGACAGACAGAGTATCAGATACTGTAGTACTGACAGATGGGGGATCAGATACTGTAGTACTGACAGACGGGGGAGCAGATACTGTAGTACTGACAGACGGGGTATCAGACACTGTATTACTGACAGATGGGGTATCAGACACTGTAGTACTGACAGACGGGGTATCAGACACTGTAGTACTGCCAGACGGGGTATCAGACACTGTAGTACTGCCAGACGGGGTATCAGATACTGTAGTTCTGACAGACGGAGTATCAGATACTGTAGTACTGACAGACGGGGTAGCAGATACCGTAGTACTCACAGACGGCGTATCAGACACTGTATTACTTACAGATGGGGTATCAGACACTGTAGTACTGACAGACGGGGTAGCAGATACTGTAGTACGAACCGACGGGGTTTAGTTCAGCTGGAGGCTGACTGACAGACAGAGTATCAGATACTGTAGTACTGACAGATGGGGTAGCAGATACTGTAGTGATGACAGACGGGGTATCAGATACTGTAGTACTGACAGATGGGGTATCAGATACTATAGTACTGACAGACAGAGTATCAGATACTGTAGTACTGACAGATGGGGGATCAGATACTGTAGTACTGACAGACGGGGTATCAAATACTGTAGTACTGACAGACGGGGTATCAGATACCTTAGTACTGACAGACGGGGTATCAGACACTGAAGTACTGACAGACGGGGAATCAGACACTGTAGTACTGACAGACGGGGTATCAAATACTGTAGTACTGACAGACGGGGTATCAGATACCTTAGTACTGACAGACGGGGTATCAGACACTGAAGTACTGACAGACGGGGAATCAGACACTGTAGTACTGACAGACGGGGTATCAAATACTGTAGTACTGACAGACGGGGTATCAGATACTATAGTACTGACAGATGGGGTATCAGATACTGTAGTACTGACAGACAGGGTATCAGATACTGTAGTACTGACAGATGGGGTATCAGATACTATAGTACTGACAGACAGAGTATCAGATACTGTAGTACTGACAGATGGGGGATCAGATACTGTAGTACTGACAGACGGGGGAGCAGATACTGTAGTACTGACAGACGGGGTATCAGATCCTGTAGTACTGACAGACGGGGTATCAGACACTGTAGTACTGACAGACGGGGTATCGGATACTGTAGTACTGACAGACGGGGTATCAGATTCTGTAGTACTGACAGACGGGGTATCAGATACTGTAGTACTGACAGAAAGGTAATCAGATACTGTACATGTAGTACTGACAGACGAGGTAGCAGATACTGTAGTACTGACAGACGGGGTAGCAGATACTGTAGTACTAACCGACGGGGTTTAGTTCAGCTGGAGGCTGACTCCAAAGTTTCTCAACTCCCTGGGTAGCATACAGCCGGAGCTGCCATTTCAGCGCTAACAGCTAGCATTCAACAGTTTTAGCACTGCCCAACCACATACTCATTTACAGCTGAGTAGACTGGAACAAGCGGAGTAAAGTATCTTGCTGAAGGATACAACACATTGCCGTGGCGCGAACCTGCAACCCTTTGGTCACGAGCCCGGCGTCCTACCACTGGACTACCGTGTCTCACAACCCTTCGGTCACGAGCCCGGCGTCCTACCACTGGACTACTGTGTCTTACAACCCTTCGGTCACGAGCCCGGTGACCTACCACTGGACCACTGTGTCTCACAACCCTTCGGTCACGAGCCCGGTGACCTACCACTGGACGACTGTGTCTCACAACCCTTCGGTCACGAGCCCGGTGACCTACCACTGGACTACCGTGCCTCACAACCCTTCGGTCACGAGCCCGGCGTCCCACCACTGGACTACTGTGTCTTACAACCCTTCGGTCACGAGCCCGGCGCCCTACCACTGGACTACCGTGTCTCACAACCCTTCGGTCACGAGCCCGGCGTCCTACCATTGGACTACTGTGTCTCACAACCCTTCGGTCACGAGCCCGGTGACCTACCACTGGACTACCGTGCCGTGAAACAGGATTATTAATGAGAACCCCTGTTCTTATCAGACATGTATGTAACCATTAACTACAGGAACTATTTACCATAAATAAACACCGGCTATCAGATGACTTACATTACATCAAGTCACTCAATGTCATTTAACTAAACATGTTTGTTGACAGTAATATTATACCTGTACCACACCTGTTAATATCCATAGATATGATTATGATGTAAATACACAGAACACTGTGAAACCTTGTTAACTGGTTGTCCAGACATAGGTGAAGGTTCATAGCCTCGAAAATTAACAGTGAAGCAGAATTCATGCCCTCAGACTTTTTTTCTGATTCAATTTTTTTTTTAATTTATAAAGATAATTTTTCCTAATTTCCAAAAATATATAACAAAATTATGCTAAAATTTAAAGTGACCAAATTAATCTGGTTTCATATTTTTTTGTATTTTTATCAAATATCCTGTTGTTATTGATAGAAGAAAATAATAATCATGATAAAAGGATCTGCATCAACAAGGATCCACAGAAGGTGTACATATTACACTACAGTCATGCTTTCCATAGGCAGAAATTGTGTATATAATACAGACGGCTATAGCTAGCGAGTCTAACAGTAGAGGAAGGATACTGTGGACAGTGATGTTACAACAAAGGTTTTCGTTTTATCATCCACAATCAGCATTTCATTCTTAATGTAAACAGGAATTCTACCATGCTTTTAACTAACTTTTCTATTAAAAACAAATGAATAAAAGAAACCAAATTCATGTCATAGTGTAAAATTGAATATTTCTGACATAACTGTGATTCCAACACACCCTTGTTTCTTTTCTATTCACCAATACCTGCCATCAGTGTTTGGCAAAACAAATATGTTTGTTTCAGGAAATATGCCTGAAAAATGTCGGCAGGCAAACAATCTATTTTAATGTTAATTTTCTATTTTCATGAATTAATATAATTATGCTATATTTCAAATTTTACAATGCATTTCCACACATTACAATGGCTATTGATTTATCAGGTCATACTCCCAGGACAGGAAGAAAGTACATTTTAATGAGTGGCTGTGAACTTTGTCTGACTAATGAATTAATCTTAGATACAAGTAGTTGATAAAATATCTAGGGTCGACAGTAAAATCTAGGGTAGGACGGGATACCTGAAACACATTTTTCTTCTTCTTATTTTTTGGCCTTAGCACTG